TTTGACCAGACTGCTGAAAGATTTTTTTTTTTTTGCTGAAATATTTTAATAAAAAATTTAATTATAAAGTATATAGCATTTCAAATCACTTTTTCACGCATAATTTGGCCAAACTGCTGAAAGATAGAACTTAAAAAATAAATAAATACATAAATATTTGTAATAAAAAATGATAAAATATTGTATTTTCATTTGTAATTGTGATTTTATTTAAAATCACTTTTTCACTCATAATTTGACGTTGCATGCCGCTAAAATAAACCCCTGACCCTGTGACATCAGTTCCTTTCAGCGTTTTCTTCTGCTCATATTGCTGTTAGTGCCCGCAGAAAATGTGTTCTTGAATAATTTAGAGGTCCTTCACAGGGGGCCTCAAACTGGGTCTCTCTTAGAGACGAGACTGACGGACCTTGACGGAGACGTTCTGGAATTCTTATATTTGTTTCTTAACATGCAGTAATGCAGTGAACATTCTTATTAAGTTGGTTTGAGAAAGCTAACTTACTGAAATCTGACTTAAACTTCTTATTAGTGGTGCTTGTCAAAGGCAAGGCATCACAATTGTTATCTTGCATACTTAGCATTTCATAATAATATTTAAACTTAACCTCCTACAGCTTTAAAGGGGTCGTATGATGCGATTTCAAGTTTTCCTTTCTCTTTGGAGTGTTACAAGCTGTTCGTGAATAGATAAGATCCCTAAAGTTGCAAAGACTAAAGTCTCAAACCCATATTCTTTATAAAAGTTAAGACTTGTCCATGCCCTCCTAAAACGCCTCATTTAGACACGCCCCCACATGTCTACGTCACGATATGGGAAGATTTGCATAATGCCGGCCAAATGTTCATGAAAAGAAAGAAGGCGATATATGAGATATGATAACAATAAAAACTTTATTGTTGCTGCCACCGGTGCCGCCATGTTGTGAAGACGCTGTGTGTTTCGTTGCGAAAGCAAAAATACTAAAAATCAACACATTTCAGAAAGGCGGGGCATAGAGGAGAAACAATAATGTACAGTATGTGGAAAATAATGTGTTTTTTTAACCTTAAACCGCATAAACACATTTCATTACACCAAATACACCAAATAATGTTATTTTTAGCAACATCATATGACCCCTTTAACTCTACAAACTCCGAACTCAGCCCAGATCTTCAGACTGATCTGACCGAGTGTGCTATATCTTTTCTAGCTCATCAGACTTACGGTTTTCTTAAAAATGACGATTAAAACTGGAAAAAATCCCATAGACTTACATTGAATAGTCTTTGGCTCATTTGAACATTCTGTCAAACTAATACTAATCATGCCAGCAATATGCTAGTAACAGGCCAATCATGCTAAAAACATGCTGATCATGCTAGAAACATGTTATTGACATCTATCTAATCAATCCAAATTGTCAAACTTCAGGCTTTTACAACTGCTTTAAACTTTCAAGCTAGGCTTTCTCAAGCCAACCTAAAGTTTGTGAGTGGCTTCACAGAAAGCCAGAGAAAAAGCATTTTCGGTGGTAGAAGTAATTAGCCGGGACTGGCGAGCAGATGAAGTAGGTTTAGAAACATTTAAAACACAAGGAACCATAAACATAACAGTCTTGTGATCAGAAAGACCATTTTCACAAACCTCAAGGTCACAGAGAGAAAAACCATGCGATAATACTAAATCAAGTGTATGTCCATGCTGATGGGTAGGGACATGTAAATCAAATAAATGAGGTATTTATAAGCGCGTTAGTCGAAGTATCAAAGCTTTCTCGGGCGTCGATCACAGCGGCTGACAGTATGTGTTTCTGAAACAGAGCCCAGCAGTGCTGAATAATTGACGATATTTGTTTTTGCACAGTCATGCTTTGGATGAGAGTGTGTTTATGTGTTTCTTCACCTGATCTCACAAAACAAGCGCCTTTAAGAACTGGTGCCTACTTTCTTTTTGCACTTTAATGAAGATTTTTGCACCGATACGTTCTGAAAGATTTAGCTTCAGTTCTGTCACTCATTCATTTTTGGTCATATTGTGGCAATGGCAATGGCAATGGCAAATTTATTTATATAGCACCATTAATTACAACCCATGGTTGTCCAATGTGCTTTACAACAAAATAAAAAATGAAAACACAAAAACACATTTACTTAAAAATACACAAAGTATAATAAAAAACAATAAAATGTAAGGGCATGTAAGAAATTGATGAAATCCTTAGCTAAATGGTCATCAGTGCAGCAAACATGAACATTAAAGTCTCCCAGAATTAAAATGTTATCATATTTCAGCATGAATTCCCCCAATAAATCTGCAAAATCAGTTAAAAAGTCCTTGTTGTATTTTGGAGGACGGTAAATCACTGCTATCAGAAATGGATCAAAAAGTTCCAGAGCAAATAACTGCAATTCAAAACTGCTGTATTCATTAAAAGGGACAGAGTGACAGGGAAAAGTGTCTTTATAGATGGAGGCCAAGCCTCCACCCCGACCCGTAGTACGAGGAGAATTGAAGAAAGAACCGTTTGTTGGTAGCAGTTCAGAAAAAGGGCTTAAGTCCCCAGTCGTGAGCCAAGTTTCAGTAAGAAAAACGAAATCCAAGTCGCGGGAAGAGATAAAATCATTGATAATAAAAGTTTTGTTTATCACCGATCTGGCGTTGATCAAGGCCATCTTTAGCCGTAGGGGGTTATCGCTGGACTCCACTGACTGCATTGCCCGCGGTAGCGCGCGGAGATGTACCGTGTGCACTCCTCCACGGCAAAAACGGGGAGAGCAATGACCCGCGCATGAAACTGCGGCGGTCGGAAACAAGGGAGTAATCCACTCTCGTACTGGTTCCAGAGAGCGCCGGTGGATGAAACGATTCCGGTCCGAGCCTTCCGCATTGAGGCCCAGTGAAGATCGAAACTCCCGGTGGTGTGCCAGGAGGAGCTTCAGCTTAACAGCTAAGCCACCCCGTTTACCGCGTCGTCTGTAAGAAACAAATTCATCATCAGGTTGTTTTTAACTTCAAGCCGTTGGTTCTGGTCAGAATACGAGTCCATAATCCATAACACTTCCTCCAGTGAAAAAGTCCATCTCCTGTTGTCTCTCACATAAAAATCCACCAACATATTTGGACTGTTTTGGACTGTTTCTGCTTGCAAGCAGTGTTTAATCTGTGCAGATTTCTCTCCCGATTCAGCTTAAACAACTTTTTTTTTACTGGAGAAAGCAATATTATAGATAGAGGACTCGTTTTTTAGCCAGAATCAATTATTTGAAGTTAAAAACAAACCTAATGATGGATTTGTTTCTGATGGACTGGAGTGGTGTGGATTAATTACTTGTGGATTATTGTGATGTTTTTATCAGCTGTTTGGACTCTTGTTCTGACGTTGTGATGTTTTTATCAGCGGTTTAGACTCTCATTCTGACGGCACCCATTCACATGCAATCCATTGGCGAGCGAGTGATGGAATGCTACATTTCTCCAAATCTGATGAAGAAACAAACTCATCTACATCTTGGATGGCCTGAGGGTGAGGACATTTTTAGCAAATTTTCATTTTTTGGGTGGGTATCTTTGTAGACATATAACATTTGTCTGTTGTTGTTTAGTATACTGTATAACTGTTTCACAGGCTATGCTCAGAATATGCCATTTTTCTGCATACTGTACATGCTATATTTCCAAAAATGTTTAATATGCAACAATCCATGAACTAATTCATTCATTTGAATTATGAATGAATCCTCCATTTCCAGCGTGACAAATGAAGTCATCTTAGCCGTAATGTTTAACACATTTTTTCATTATTTAATTGGTCCGGCAAGAGTTTTAACACAAAATTGCATTCAAAATCCACAAAAACCGGTAATATATCTGACATAACTGAAAGCCTTTGCAGAATTAAACATGCACATAATGACTTCATATGACAGCAATGTGGCACAATACTGCGGCTAATGATGCATGCAATCTGGGTGAGATGGTGGTTTGCATGTATAAGGCCTATATATTTTTTTATTTGGCTGGATTTTGATTTTGTGTATGTTTAGTGACAGTAATGAGCCAAAGCATTTTAAACTGGTTCACGTGGACTGAAATATAATGTGCACATGCAGAACAGCCTCTGATACTGTAATCTACTCAATTATGATCTATTTTAATTATGATAATTAATGCTGGGTTTATATTACAGCACTATAAACTAGCATGGCTTTCATTTTCAATACCGTTGTGCACAAAATATTCAGCTCTGAGCCAAACCAACTGGCTTATGAAATCAAGGTCCCGTTTTTATTGCATTGTTTCTTTTTGGTGACAGGAGTAATTGATCAAACCCAGAATTAAAATCGCTGTATTCAGGGACAGAGAGACTCTCCGTTCGCTTTCATTCGATTTGAGCGAGCGGATCGTATCACTTTGTTTATTGAATCTGCTGCTGAATTCATTTGGTTCAGACCTCGGCACAACAAAACCCAAATGATATCCCTGAGGGAAATGTTTTAAGGATATTTAATCAGGACAGGATCAGAATTAATTTCGGGAGACTCCCGGGAAGTTTTGCCTGAACTCAATTTGAGTGTTTCTCAGACCTTGAAATGATTGTCAATGGAGAATCGCTATTAGACAAACATTTAGTCCGGGAGATTGTTAAATCTTGTTTAGTTTAGGAAGGTTTATCTTACACTGAATCTAAAATAGCATCACTTTTGCTCATATTTAGGATCTGAATAAATTCCTAACCCTAATTATTTGTGCTCTGGATCATGTGACTCTTTGAGGAGAGCAACTATTACTTGCATTTGTTCACCAAAAAACACATTTGAGCTTTGCTTTGTGTCGGTGAAACGCCAAACAATGCAAACACTGAACGTTTAGTCAGTCATTAGTCTCTTGATTGTGGTATTATATTCGGGCTAATTATCTGTGAAGATTAATTTCATCCTCTTGAGCTGCTTAAAAATGAATGTGAAGGAATATGGAGGTTCTGATTTGAGCTGTCTGTCGTCTGCTTTCAGAATGACACAAAGCGCTGGGAGGATTTCGCTGTATTTGTGGAGCGCTCCAGAACGTCCGTCCCGTCTCACGCGATGCTGAGCATGTAAAGATCCGGACTGAGGTAAGAAGACTTTTATTAAAGCGCTTCTCAACTGGTTTTTGCTAAAAGGCTCAGATTTTACAGCTAGTGCCGAATGAACACAGTAAAATAAATAAAATAAAATAAATACATTTATTATTATTATTATTATTATTATTGATATATATTATTTGCAGCTTAAATGTATTTTTAGATAAATAAAATAAATTATTGTTAAATAAAATAAAATTATTGTTTAAAATATTGGTTATTTATTATATATTTATATTGCATATTTTAATTATATATTTATTATAAAACATTGAATGTGTTATTGTTTAAATGTATTATTTGTAGTTTTTAAATTATTTAATTAAATTAAATGAATGATTAATTAAACTACATTTTATATATATATATATATATATATACACACACACATACATACATAAACTTACAATAATTCTAAATATTTATTAGATAACATTGAATATATTATTATTGAAATTTCTTATTTGTAGCTTAAATTTATTGAAATTTCTTAAACAATTAAAATAAATTATTGTTTAAAATATTGTTTAAAATATTTACTATAATTATATTTGTAGTTTAAATGTATTAAAAGTTATTAATGAAAAAGATTGTGGTATTGTAGTGTAGTATTTAATTAATAATTTTTGAAATAGTTTTTATACATATAGAATGTATTTATATTACATATTTATATTAATTTCATATTTATTATGATTATAAAGCCAATAATTGAACTTAAACTGCATGTAATATAGGCTGAGTCCTGTTTTCTTATGCCGTTTATTTATTAATATTAGCTATTTCAATTTAGTTACTATAACCAACAACAAAAGATATGAGAATGATTTTCTCCTCCCTTAAAAAAAGTTAATATTTTTATTTATTGTGCTGTCCTTAATATGCATGATTTTATGCTTAGATGTAGTTTATTATTTGCATATTGCATCGTTTTTTACCCTGGCTCCCTTGTCACCCATCAGAACAGACCCACGGCCCATTTTGACTTTGCGACACACCAGATGAGAAGCGCTGTTTTCCAGCACGCTGCGGTGGAGGCTGCACTCGCCTTTGAACACCAGCATTGTGCCTTTGCCGTTTGTTATTGTTCACTTTCACAGCGCAGTGGCCTTGATTGTGCTGATTTGCTGCATTCGTAATGTACTTCAGAATGGGAAGATCAAGTCTGTGCTCTGGCAGTCTTGTTCAATCAATAATGAAACAAGGTCTTTGTCTAGCACCCTGTCAGACGTGACTTTCCGCTCAAATCTGGACTAGAAACGGCGATTCGCTGCTGGTTTATGCATGCATGCACGAGTCCATGTGATTCCGAGACTCCGATCTCAGACTTTGTTGTCGAAAAGATAAATGACTGCTGGTGGACTATAAACGAATTCATCTACAGAACGTCCCCTAACCACAACCACGTGCATGTAGGCAATGTAGCCTACAAAAGCCAATTTGATTTAACCTCCAAAGAGCTTTGTGACATGCTCATTTTTTTCTAGGTGATTCTAAAGCATTGGTGAGATTGAATGAGGGGCCCCTGGGGGCCAGTCTTGTATATGAAGAGTCAAACATGGAGATTTGTGTGCAGATTGATGGGCCGCTTGCCAATAGTTCATCAGCAGACTGTACGCTCAGCCGCTCGCTCTGGTTCAGATTTATGATGTCATAATGCCGATGAGTGACCTCCAGTGAGGCAAAACCACCGCTGCAGTTTCATCACTTTGATGGGAGCGGCGTCTTTAACTTTGCCAATAACTTTTAGACGGACGATCCATTCCATACTACAACTTCACAGGATTTGTGTTGGATTGTGCGCTGTGGGGGTGCAAGACAACTTGTGCTGTGAGACAACTTGAGTAAGCTATGGTTAGGTTGACTACCTTACAAATTATTTCTCTGCAGTGCTTGAAAATGTTGTTCTGTTTCAGTTTTATAATATATATATAACCCAAATTTTTTTCCGTCATATACAGAATTTTTTTAGCAGTGATGGAAAAATCTGAAGGCTCTCTGTCACTTTGACAGATTACACTGAGGGTGATCTATTGTAATTTATGACTGTAATACCCACCCCTGTCCAGTTGGTGGCAAGTGCGCTCCAGTGTGGCAGCAGAGCGCGGGATCATCAGCTCCAGAACAAAAATAAAACTCTCACGAGTCTTTTGCTATACCTTTGATTACGCACAGGCGAGTACCCACTAGTAAAGCAAAAACACTTCGCGCTGCCACATTAAAGAGCGCCAAAACGGTATTTATTCCTGGAATTTCCTAATAAAACGGACAGAATTTGAAATCTGAGACTTTGTTTCATATCAAACGTAACAACGCACAAAGCCTGTTGCGATTTATTGGATGGGAGGCGCACTATATGTACGGTCAGTGCCGATCCTAGACTTCTGGGGGCCCTACGCAAAACTGTGTCAGTGGAGTGGGGTATGAGTGGTTATGAACGAATGAATGAAACGCATTTGTCCGTGTTTCACTCCGTCTCGAATCGCGCTCGCGGAAAGCGCTTGAGAATCAGTGTCTCTTCCGCGGCTCTTTACGCTTTCAACTGATTTTTTTAGTCTCGAGCAAGACTGTACGGCATTCACGTTACATGATTTGACTGATTTTTACGTAGAAAGGGTGACAGCGCACCGTATTAAAAGAAATGATCATTCATGTTTTCATAACCGCTGTCCAAATTCAAAAACGAAACTAAAATTAAATCATCTTTGAGAGCAAGGGGGCCACCTGGTGTTTACACGTATTTTGCGTATAGGGAGGATCAGCTCTGTGTACGGTTCATTCATCAACTGAAAACAGAATCGATTGGTATTTAAGATTCGATATTGGTTCATAAAAATTAGAATTGATTAAAATCGAGAAATCTAATTTTTTTACCCAGTCCAAGCTTATTTTTTTGTTGTTAGTGTCCTCCGCTGTCACTGCGGTGTGTTGAACATGAAAAGTGACGCACAGTCCAGAGGTGTAAAGTATTGGAGTAAATGTAATTAGTTACTGTACTTGAGTATATTTTCGGATACTTTGTAGTTGTACTGAGTATCAAAGATATTAGCAAATTTTACTCTCTACTTCACTACATTCTTGAATGAGGATCTGTACTCTTTACTCCACTACATTTGAAATTGTATGGAATTAAAATTAAAAAGATGAATGGAAATTTAAAGAAAATCACATTACTAATATTTCACAAGAACATTTTGTGAAGACAAACTTTGATTTTTTGGATGGATGGATGGATAAAACAAGTGCAAAAGAGTAAACTAATGATCAAACAAACAAACAAACGATAGAAAGAATGAACAAATGAATGAAGAACAAACAAAGGAACGAACGATAGATGGATGGATGGATGGATGGATAGATAGATAGATAGATAGATAGATAGATAGCTTTTTTAAAAAGTCGGGCATTAGTTAGGAAGTGTCTGTCAGTAACCTAAAGGTAAATGTGTATATGCTGTAAATGTGAGCTGTGTGTGTGTGTGTGTGTGTGTGAGGGAGAGATACTGTAGTGTGTTCATGCTCCTAAACCTCTGAACTTCACAATCGCACTGGTTTGGTTTTCCTGCTGTTTGTGCCGTAATCGTGGAGTCAGAGCCTCAGCGCCTCTCACCCGCTCCAGCATCACAGCGGCCGCTTCAAAAGAGACGAGTGTGTGAGTTTCTGAAGCATCCCGTGCATGAATATGGATGCGTGTGTGCTGTGATTGGCTCATCCGTGGTTGATTGACATCCTTTGACAGACTCCCGCTTCATGTTATATTAAAGCTCACCAGAGACCCCGGATTCATAATTCAGACTCAGATTTAAGACGTGACCAACATTACATATGAAGAGCGCTGTGGTTTAACACATGAATGTGGGCTGAACACACAGTTTAAAGGGTCTGTGTCAGTTTTGCTCAGTGATTTTCACACAGTGTGAATTAAAACAGATACAAAGAATTGGAAAAGAAGTTCACAGATGTGAATAACAAACTTTTCTATTTTGGTTTTGTTCCTCCTCTAACTGACTTCCTAAGCTTAGGATGCTTCGAGGGTGAGGGGCGCATGCGCAAGTGCTGACCCAGACGCTGGCGTGTTTGAGTTTGTTTGTTTTGTCTTATAGTTGTCTTATATTTTATTTCTGATGCTATTTTACACTTAGATTTTTAGAGATATGATTTTTACATTTATTTTGGTTTGGATTTGGAGTCTAAAATGCGTCGTCGATCAAGTTATTGCACTGGAAGCCGAAGTGGAGTTGGGAAGTTTGAGAAACCATAAGGAAGAATCTCTGCAAGAGTCCTTACATTTAAATTGAACTCTTTTGGAGCCGTTATCCAGGGTTGTAGCCATCAGTTCAGAAGTGAGGGGAAATGTCAAATTTCTTTTTTAATTGACAAATTTTATTTTTGTCTC